CCTTGAGCAATCCGCCCGCCTCGGCCTCCCAAGAGCTAGGATTACAGGCGTGAGCCACAGCGCCCGGCCTTGCCTTTTTTTTTTGAGACAGTGTCTCACTCTGTTGCTCCAGCTAGAGTGCTCTGGCATGATTATGTTAGAGCAGGAAACCGCAGTACCACAGAACAAAGAGACAGAGTCACTGAGGTTGCAATCATCAAAAGGAGTTTTATTTACTAGCTGGAGCTAGGGTCCAAGTCTCAGAGCGCCAAGCAGTGGCCTCTATTCTGACAAGGACCCCCCCTTGGGTTATGGGTATCCCTTAAGTAGTTTTCTCTTAAGTTTATCCCTTAAGTAGTTTCCCTCCCTCCCTCCTACAGTCTTCTTTAGCAATTTATTCCATCTCTTTTCTGGTTGGCTCTGGTTGGTTTTCTTACTAGCTGATTGGTTCTGGCATTAGGGCTTTTCCTCTGCATTTTATTGCAGAGTTATCTGGTGTTTGGCCCCCTCCCCCTGTCCCTGGACTTTTCAACCTCTTATCAGGGAATGACCTGTAGTTACTGCCTTTTGAGGCCCAGCACCCACTGAAGCCTGTCATGGCTTCACTTAAGCTATATATTGTAAGCAAGCAAGCTGGAGGGATAGAAGCTAAATAAGCTGTTAGGCCCGGTGCAATGGCTCACGCCTGTAATCCTAGCATTCTGGGAGGCCAAGTCGGGCAGATTGCTTGAGGTCAGGAGTTTGAAACCAGCCTGAGCAAGAGCGAGACCCCCGTCTCTACTATAAAAATAGAAAGAAATTAATTGGCCAACTAATATATATAGAAAAAATTAGCCGGACATGGTGGCACATGCCTGTAGCCCCAGCTACTCCGGAGGTTGAGCCAGAAGGATCGCTTGAGCCCAGGAGTTTGAGGTTGCTGTGAGCTAAGCTGATGCCACGGCACTCACTCTAGCCTGGGCAACAAAGTGAGACTCTATCTCAAAAAAAAAAAAAAAAAAAAGCTGTTAGCTTTGAGCTTTTCTTATAATTTCATAGCTCATTGCAACCTCAAACTCCTAGGTTCAAGTGATCTTCCCACCTCAGCCTCCCAAATAGCTGAGACTACAGGCATGTGCCACCATACCTGGCTAATTTTTCTATTTTTGGTAGTGACAAGGTCTCGCTCTTGCTCAGGCTAGTCTTGAACTCCTGAGTTCAAGCTATCCTCCCGCCTTGGCCTCTCAGATTGCTAGGATTACAGGCATGAGCCACCACACTTGGCCTGAATTAGAATTCTTAAATGAAAAAGGCGCAAAACTGAGCCATAGGGCTGGCCACTTTGAAACTTCTCAAAGAAGCTCTTGTAGGCTTTGCTTTCGCGAAGATTTTCTCAAGCAGAGCAGTCTCAAGTAGTCCTTTTATTTGTTTTTTTTTACACTGCAGAGCAAGGTGCCAGAATAAGATTCAGAATGAGGGAGAAGGGTAACTGGGAGGTCAGGAAGGAGAACTGCAGACCTAAGGCTGCTTCTTGGGCACATCAGTAAAAGGAGAGGGAACATGCAGGAGGTGGCTCTGGAAATTGATTCCCTGAAAAGGATCTGTGTCCACCTCCCTGCTAGGAAGTCTCCACATCCCTGTAGTCTCCACCCCAAACAAGCCCTAGTTTGGAGGCCTCTGACCCAGTGTGTGAAGCCACTGGTGGAGCCACGACTGCTTCCTTCCGCATAGTAGGAGGGATGGGGAGAGAAGCAGGCAGGAGGAGGTGTTACAGCAAGTGCTACAGCGGGTGGTCCCAAGGACAAACCGAGCAGCACACCGAGAGTCCAGACGGAGAATCAAAGTTTATTTCACAGGTGGGCTCAGAGGGGGCCTAGCCACCAAATTCTGAGCACTGCCTACCCGATTTTTCCCAATTTTATTAAGTTGGGGTGGTCAGAGGGGTGAGGTGTCAGGCAATAGGTTAATATGTTGATGGGCCAGGCAATAGATTTAGTGTTATGCTGATGTCAGGCAATAGACTAGTTAATGGGCCAGGTAATAGGTTAGTATTATGCTGATGTGGGTCTTCCATGAGAAGTGGGGGTCTCTAGTGCCTGATGAGCCAAGTAATAGATGAGGGTTTTCCTTATCAGAGGAAAGTAGATAAGTTGGGGCTCTGATGCCTTGGAGGTGAGGAAATTTCTTTCTGAGGGCTTCAGTTTTCTTCTTCAACAATGAGTTTTTTTGTCCATGAAAAATGGGGGTGGGAGGATGGAGAGGATCAAATATTTGAGGAAGGTGGAGAAAATATGAAATCATCCTTATAAAGAACAGAAACTAGTCACCAGAATGGAAACTAGCTAGGCAGAGATGAGGGTCCAGTTGAGGTGAGTGGTCATCGATTCAAATCTACATCTGCTCAACTGTGGGATTTTTTTTTAAAGCAGTGCTGAAGCTCTTGTTTGTTTAGTGTTTGTGTGAATTTGGTAAAATGCAGATCTTTTCCCTATGTTGAGATATAACATGAATAGGCCGGGCACCTGTGGCTCATGCTTGTTATTCCAGCACTCTGGGAGGCCAAGGCAGGAGGATCGCTCAAGGTCAGGAGTTGGAGACCAGCCTGAGCAAGAACAAGACCCTGTCTCTACTAAAAATAGAAAGAAATTAGCTGGACAACAAAAAAAATATATATGTAGAAAAAATTAGCTGGGCATGGTGGCGCATGTAGTAGTCCCAGCTACTCGGGAGGCTGAGGCAGGAGGATCGCTTGAGCCCAGGAGTTTGAGGTTGCTGTGAGCTAGGCTGATGCCACGGCACTCTACTCAGGGCAATAGAGTAAGGCTCTGTCTCAAGAAAATAAATAAATAAAAGAATAAAAAGAGATATAACATGAATAATCACACGGAGGCCAGATAATAATTATCAGAAAAATTTATCAAGGTCCTTCCAGGGCTCTTCTGCACAGGGTGGCTTTGGATGGCCAGACGTTTACATAGCACATAGTAGCTTTCTTTTGTTCCTCATCATCATGGTAAATTGAGTTACAATTTCTTAAGCATGAACATCTGTAGTCCTCAAGTTACAGTCATCCCTATGAACAAGGGTAAGGGTGGAGATGGTGCGGAGTGTCTGTTTTTCCTCTCCCCAGGTAAATGGGATCTTGATGCATGGCATGGGGTACCAGTGAGCTTGCCATTGCCCCTGTGTATTATCGAAGGATGAGATAATGCCACCATAGAAGAAAAGATCAGAAACTCTCTGGACAACAGACGAAGGTTGTAAACCAATGTATCCTCTTTCCTAAAACACTTCACCTCCTGCCTGTCCTTTCATGCATTGGGAGGACAGAATGAATTGGAGGGGGCTTGGAAGTTTGGCTTATAAATCTCTTGTGAAATGTTGCTTTCAATATTGGCTCAAGCTGGAATATTGACTAAATATCATAGTATGGGATATGCTATGTATCAGAAAAATCAATGATTCTGTCAGTCACATCAATTGCTCTCTAACATTGTCACTCTAGAAGTCCCCAAAGCACCACAGCCATGGAAGGTTGTATTTTCTCACAGTAACAAACTATTCCAAGTTTTATATAGATACACATATTTGTTTGTTTTAGAGATAGGGTCTCGCTTTTTTACCAAGGCTACAGTGCAGTGGTATGATCACAGCTCACTGCGACTTCGAACTCTTAGGCTCAAGCGATCCTCCCACCTCGGCCTCCCAAAGTGCTAGGATTACAGGCATGAGCCACCATGCCCAGCCCCAAGTTACATTTTTAAGACATATAGCACACATACTCATACTCTGAATGTAAATTCAAGGATAGGTGGCACAAATACGAGAAATGACCTCACGTCCCAAGTGAGTGTTAATATAGTTCTATTTTAAAGTATCTTCATGAAAAGAAACCATTTCTTGAATTTTGCAGGGCAAACATGGATGCTTTGACTGGTTTTCACAAGCCTCAAAGCATGCTTCCAAGCGACATGTGTCCAGGGCCATGGCATTAATAAAGTGAACAGATCTGCTGAAACTCAAAGGATATTGAAAATGCTTTAAGTTCCACATTCCAAAATCAGGGCTAGAGAGGCTGGCTGGATTACCCGTTGATGTGGGTTTCCTGCTGTTGGTTTGGGCCACTCTAGGTATGAGGTGATGTTTTAGATCACCGCTGGGTTCTTCCAGTCTTCTGGGCCTGGCAACATAAAGAACAAATCCAGTTGACACATCAGCTGCTATGGCTCATCTGCCTTCCTGCGGGGTTGTGTGGCCATGGCCTGCAAGACTGGGCCCCAGAAATCCCCAAATAGGGCCCCCAGGTGTGCCCAACTCCCTGATGCCCACCTACCCACCCACTCCTCCACACTAACATTTCAGTGGTTGTGTTTAGGCCAAGTGTTTGAAACTCCAGTCCCAGATACCAATGTCTTCCTTTGCAAGATACAAAAGAGGGAGCAGATTCTCAGAGGGTTCAGGTACCTGCTGGTCTCCCACAACATGGGGTGGAAGAGCCTAAGTGAGTTGCTGAAAAGCAACTAACATGCTGGACTCTCTTTTGGGTCAAGGCAGGACTTTTGCTCATGCTCAGGACGAAGGGGCCCCTTGTCCTTGGCTCATCGTTCCAGAAGAGACCAGGGCTCTCTCAGCCTGGCTGTGTGATAACAGAGGGACACAGGTACCAGAGAAGCCAGCACCCTGATAGCAGCCATAGGCCAGAGAGGCTGAATGCTACTTGGACATGAAGAGAGAGAGGTCGCAGCAGATTCCCAGGGGACAGGTCCAAATTAGGTCCTAGTCACTGCCTCTCCTCCTTAGTGTTTATCTTGATTTATTTATCTTGCAAAGGAGCCAAGGTATCCTGTCATTCCTGCCTACTGTCTTCTGTCCCTTCCACAACTCCCATGTCTCATTTGGGTTTCTGCTGCTAATCTCATGGAGTACTTGGGGCGGGAGATGGGTCTCAATAACATAGGAACAAACCAAAACAAAAGTACCTTCCGATTTGCCTCCAGCTCTGACACCGAGTGGCCCTGGAAAAATCCCTTCCCTTTTCTGATACTCATCTGTAAAATGGCCTGGATCAGTGGTTTTCCGACCACCTTCTGTGGAGCTGCCAGGAGCCTGAGGGGTTCCCCGGGGTCCCCGAAGAGGCTGCAGTAAAAAGGGAGGCTGAGCTGACTCTGTACCCCAACACCCAGTGCCCACCAGAGTGGATACTTTTTACCTGTTTTACATATTGTGTTTCCATACAAGGGTTCTTTGAAGAAAGGGTCCTGAGACTACAGTGTTTGAAAGCTGCTAGAGGAGATGATTGCTAAGGCCCCTTCCAGTCTAAGATATTTGGTCTTCTGAAGCCCAGCTCAAGTCATTCCTCCTTCAGGAAGCCTTCCTGGTTCCCCAGTCCTGGGTACTTGAGCTCCAGCAATAATGATGAAGCCAGTGATATGGCACCATCAGTGACCCATCCAATGCCTGCATGTATATGTCAGCTGTCTCCCCAGCTAGATGAGCTCTTTGAGGGCAGTGTTTGATTTTTCCTTCCATACCACCGTCCCTTTGTAATTCCATATGCAAAGTAGGTGTTCAGTGAACTCGTCAATGCTACCTAGTGTCATGAACTCTTGCATAGGATAAAACCTTCCCACCAGACTCTGCTTTGGGGAGGGGGGGCTAGCCTTTGGTCTCCTAAGCAGTCTGCACAATGACCTGTCCTTAAGAAGCTGGGGACCCTGACCTGGGGAGCAGCTTCAGACTCATACACTCCCATAAAGGGCAGGTCTGAGTTCCTGCCTTAATTGGATTCCACTCAATCTCTTCCGTCCCTCAGCACCTCTCCTGGTGGGGCCTCTCCACAGAGCACGGCCATGGCAGAGGCATGCTCCCAAAGCCTGGGGATCAGAGCAGCCAGGAGGCCCCAGGCCAGTAGGCATCTCAGCCAGATTCCAAAGGGAAGCATGGGGAGATGGGGGGGACTCCAGGCTTTGCTCAGACTACAGCTCTCTCTGGAGATGGGGGTTTACTCAGAGACATCGGAGAAGGCAGGTTGGAGGAGGGTGCTAGGGGTGAAGGACCAAGACAGCCATAGGCCAGTGTCCCTGAGGCAGGAAGCCAGGAAAAGACTGGGAGTTGTGGGGGTGGAATGAGTCAGAAAGCTGCTCTGCACTTGCTAGGGTAAGTCAATTAACCTTACTTAGTCTTAATGTCTTTACCTGTAAATTGGGGGCAAAAGACCCTGACCAACTGCAGGCTACCCTGTAGTGAAGTAGTGAGATTCTAATAAGACTAAAAAGGTGCAAGGAGTTAAGGATCATTGTTTAACAGGGGAGAGCACCAGAGCCTGCTTCCAAAGGGGGACTGTCCTGCAGTTTAGGAATGCTCCGAGGCTGACCATCCCTCCTTCTCCTGCATCACTCCCAGCAGCCACCTGTGCTAAGCCTGGAGAATTTCTGGTTAGGCTGGTGAGCAGAGCAGGGCAGTTCAGGACAGAGGCCTCAGCCCAAACCTGGCACAGAAAAGCTCCTCAAAGAGAGAGAAATGTCCTGATGAAGAGCCCATGAAAGGGGGGAGGCTCAGGAGACTGCAGAGATTCCTGAGGGCTCTTCTGGTCAGTGAGATACCCTGACGGGATCCCAAAGATGGGGTCCCTTAGTCTCACTGAACTTGTCACTTGGGATGGGGGTCAAGTCAGCCTCCCCTAATACCTGAAGCTATACATGTGGCCTTCCCCCTTTCTAGGGAGGGGTCTTGGTTGGGACTGTGGGGCAGACGAGCCCTCAGCAGGTCACAAGCAAGTCCCCTCCGAAGCCCCTCCCCATGGGATCCTCCAGCTGTGAGGAGTAAGCAGCAGCCAGATCAAGGCTGGAGCATCTGGCAGGGTTCCTGCCTGGATCTGGCCTCCCTCAGCTGCTGTAGCCCGAAGTGTGGGTACTGGGCCTGCGCAGCCAGACATCTGGCAGATCGGGCTGGCTGTTGGGCAGCATCACAGGGCTGCCATCCCCCACCCCCCCGTGGCCCTTCCAGGACAGGCAGCTCTGGTGGGAGGTGGGCAATAATGGGTCGTACACCGTCTCCTTCAGCGCCAGCCACAGGGTCTCCCGCTTCCCATTCATCTGGCCCCGCTCAGGTACTGGCTGCCCAGTGTCATCCAGGTCCTCTGGGGAGGCACCCACGGAATCTGGTACACGGGCACTGGGCTCAGAGGTGCTTAGGCAGGTCTCATCGGAGACGCTCAGCCCCTCCAGGGTGCTGGCTGAGGAGCAGAGGCCATCAGGAAGCTCTGCAGCCTTGGGCTCGGGCAAGTGGGCAGGGGCTTCTGGTGAGGCTGGCAGGGGCTCAGCCTCCTGCCCTTGGGAGTCCTGCCTGGCCCGGGTTTGGGGGCTGGGGCCAGCCTGCTTATAGGGGGAGGAGGTCTGCAGGGCTGGGCACTGGCTGAAGACGGCCTGGTGGTCCAGGAATAGCTCCCTTGGGGAGGCAGGGGTCGGCGGGGGCCGGGGGCAGCAGGGACCATCATGCAGCTGTAGGTCCTCAGAGAGTACTGACGGTCGGTGAGACAGCTTGCTGGTAGCTGTGCTGGTGTCAAAGCTGGGGCTCCGGCGCCGTGCCAGGGGCTGTAGCTCATATTGCTCTGAGCAGGACCCAGGCACTACCCCGATTGGCCCTAGTCGTGGGCGGCCTGCCTTCTCCCTGCCAGGCTCCCCAGTGCTGGCGTCCCATGGCAGGTGGGCACAGGGCCAGAGGATCTGCCCACAGTTCTTCTCTGGCCCAAAGAAACAGCACAGAGATTGGAAGAAGAAGCTGGCAAAGGCACAGCTGACGCACTTGACCATCATGAGGATGATGCCCAGCTTGCGGTAGAGCAGCACTGTGGCAGGCAGCATGAGCACGCCGGCTGCGAACAGGGCTGCAGCCCCCACTGCCGTGGCGCAGCTGCTCTGGCGCAGCGAGAAGGCCACGCGGCTCAGGCGGTCAGGGTGTGGGCACAGGTGATAGGAGATGCAGTAGTTGACAGTGAAGTCCACTGCGAGGCCCACAGAGGCAGAAAGAAAGAGCGCCTCGGAAGTGTTGAGCTGCCACTCGAGTAGAACCAGGAGTCCCACGGTGAGCAGTACAGTGCCTGCCACGGCTGCCACGGAGAAGAGGCTGAGTGGAACATTCCAGGTGCCCAGCAGCAGTGTGGCAAAGGCCAGCGCCAGAGCCAGGCCCAGCACCACAGGAGGCTCAGTGGTCAGGCTGTACTGCAGGCTGAACAGCTCTAGACGGCTAGTGAACCAACCCCGGCGGAGGCCTGGAGGTGCCATGCCCAGCTCTGCGGCCAGCCAGTGGCTGACCTCAGCGTAGAAGTGATGGATCTGGCCATAGTCTGGACTATACTGGAAGTTGGTTTGGAATTGCAGGACCAGGGCAGCCAGCCTGCCATGGGTATCATAGCGGGGTCCCAGGTCAAGGGTGCCGTTGGGGCCTTGCTCCATAGCCATCATCTTCAGGCAGTGCAGGAAGAGCTGGGGGGCCCAGGGGAAGTCTGAGTGACCACAGCAGAGGTCAGGCCCCAGGCGCGCGCAGCCGGGGCTCTCCATCCAGTGCTGCAGGGCCTCCATGAAACACAGTGTGGGCCAGCCCTCTGGCTGTGGGCCAAAGAAGCTCTGGTTCTGGGCGCGGTGGCAAAGTGCCAGCAGCCAGCGCTGGGCCTCAGGGCTGCTGGCTGAGAAGGCAGGGTCGCTCACCAGAGAGCTGTTGCTGCGAGGGTCCAGGGGGTCGCTGGTGTCCACAGGCAGGATGCCCCACACCAAAACCACGGGCATGTGGCCGCCCTCGTCCCCAGACACCTGTTCAAACAGGAACTGCTGGCGGTACTCTGCGTCGTAGCGCTCGAAGGGGTGGCTAGGCCGGAAGTACTGGCTGCCCGGGGGCTTCAGGGTGGGCATCCCCAGGCGGGGGCTGACCCCGGCGATGTAGCCGCCCCCTGCCGCCAGCACCGCGAACCAGCAGACCCAGATGTAGCGGAACTTGATGACGCCACAGGGCAGCAGGCGCTGGAAGAGCAGGCGCGAGGTGATGGTTGCGGCCCTCCGAAGGCCGCGGAACCACCGGTGGAGGCTGCTGCCGCACGGAGCCTGCTCACAGCCGTTCACCAGGTAGCGCTCGTGGAGCACGGCAGAGGCGGGCAGCCAGGCCAGCGTGAGTGCCAGGTGCGCCAGCACAGCTGTGCCCATGTAGAGGGCGAAGCAGCGTACGGTGGGCAGGCGGCTCAGGTAGCTGGCGTAGAAGGCCACACTCGTGGTGAGGCCAGAGACCAGCAACAGGTAGCCAAAGTGGTGCATGGTGCGGCCCAGGCGCTGTGCCAGTCCCCCAGAGGGCACCTGGCGCTTGCTGAGGCGCCATAGGTCGAAGAAGATGAGCGTGTGGTTGGTGCAGACGCTGCTGAGCAGGATGAGGGCCGCCAGATTGACGAAGGGGAAGTAGGCCATGCGGAAGACCACTTGGTAAAGGAAGAAGGCAACCAGCAGGGAGCCCAGCACCCCCAGCAGCATCATGAGCGCAAGGAAGAGTGAGCGCAGGTAGAGGGTGATGCCAAGGAAGATGGCAGCCAGGCCCAGGAAGGGGTACACCGTGTCCTGGGCTAGGTAGTACTTCAGCAGCTCCTCCTTGACTCCTAGGTCCATGCCGGTGACAGAGGTGTAGTTGTCAGTGAGCACCCCGGGGGTGATGAGGTGGTCCAGGTAGATGCTCAACATAGAAGCATCCTTTGGGGTGGGCAGGAAGAGCAGGCTGAACTTGAGGGAGGGCACCTGGTAGTCAGCAGTCTGGGGACTCAGAAAGTCCCTGTCCAGCAGAAAGTGCAGGAGTTGGTAGATGGCACTGCTCTGGGAACACTTGGTGGGAACCTGGGCACAGTGTGGGGACTTGTTCTGCCCGGGTCCCAGACAAGAGGGCACCAGGTCACCTCGGTGGTAGTAGACCGCACAGATCCGAAGCAGGGCCAGTACACGGTCTGTGTCAGCTTGGGTGATGTCGAAGCAGGAGGAGCGGTTGGAGAGCACAGATACATAGTTGCCCAGGGACCAGCTGGGGCAGCATTCGTTGGTTGCTGTACGCTGGCACAGAGCCCCAAAGTGGCTATGGGAGCGGATCTGTAGGACACACACAGCAGAAGAGAGCTCAGGGGCAGTTCAAGGACTCAGGTTTCCCAGCCCTGTCTGAGGCCCTCTTACCTCCTATCAGGCTGCAGGACAGAGGCAGAGAGGGATCTTGACAGCCTAGCAGAACTGCCTTGTCTCAGAGCTGCCTTTGGCTCCTGGCCTAGGTGCCAGCAGCTACATCTCTCTCTCTTTTTTTTTATTTCGGCATATTATGGGGGTACAGATTTTAAGGTTTCAATAAATGCCCATTCCCTCCACCCCCCACAAGTCTGAGTTTCCAGCATGACCATCCCCAGACGGTGCACATCTCACTCATTATGTATGTATATACCCGCCCCCCTCCCCCCTCCCACCTGCCCAATACCCTATTACTGTAGTACCTATGTGTCCACTTAGGCGCTGCTCAGTTAATACCAGTTTGCTGGTGAGCATATGTGGTGCTTGTTTTTCCATTCTTGGGATACTTCGCTTAGTAGTATGGGTTCCAGCTCTAACCAGGAAAATATAAGGTGTGCTATATCACCGTTGTTTCTTAGAGCTGAATAGTACTCCATGGTATACATATACCACATTTTATTAATCCATTCTTGGATTGATGGGCACTTGGGCTGTTTCCACAGCCTTGCAATTATGAATTGTGCTGCTATAAACATTCGAGTGCAGGTGTCTTTTTTGTAGAGTGTCATTGGGTCTTTTGGGTAGATGCCCAGCAATGGGATTGCAGCAGCTACATCTTGACTCCATCAAAGAGGAGCCTCAGGGATGCTGCCCAAGGCCTCAGCCTGAGAGGCCCTGCCCTAAGAGCCCCTGTGGGTCACATACACCTGCTCTGCACTGCCTAAGCAGGAGCAGGAGTGGAGGTGGCAGGCACAGAAAGAACTAGGCCAAAGGTCCAAGGAGCTGGAAGCAAGTAATGGGGAAAGTGAGCCAATGTTTTGGCCATGCATGGAGTAAAAAATTCCAGAATCACAGTTACTATCAAACCTCAGTCCCCTGCTTCTGAAACTGGGCTGCTTAAGGCCTCTTAGGGACCAGGCTGTTTCTTTTTCAGACTTCATGCTTTCTTTTCTCTCCCTCCCTGCTGTTGACACCACAGCAGCTGATGTAATATGGAGAGCACCGAGCTAGGAGTCAGAAGCCCTGCTCTGCCACTAACTGGCTATGGGACTTTGGGCCTGAGATTGTGGTGATGACACGGTAACCTTTATTGAGAGATTACTATTGCCAGTCATGTTATATTCTCCCAAATTCTATCCTGTTTAATTGTCACAACACGCTGTGAGGAAAGTACCCATTTAGCATATATGAAGACTGAGCGGGCCAGGCACGGTGGCTCACGCCTGTAATCCTAGCACTCTGGGAGGCCGAGGCGGGCAGATTGCTCGAAGTCAGGAGTTAAAAACCAGCTTGAGCAAGAGCAAGACCCCATCTCTACTATAAATAGAAAGAAATTAATTGGCCAACAAATATATATAGAAAAAATTAGCCGGGCATGGTGGCACATGCCTGTAGTCCCAGCTACTCGGGAGGCTGAGGCAGTAGGAGCCCAGGAGTCTGAGCTTGCTGTGTGCTAGGCTGATGCCATGGCACTCACTCTAGCCTGGGCAGCAAAGCGAGACTCTGTCTCAAAAAAAAAAAAAAAGACTGAGGCACTGAGAGGTTAAAAACATGTTTGGGCTGGATGCGGTGGCTCACACCTGTAATCCTAGCAGTCTGGGAGGCTGAGGCAGGAGGATCACTTGAGGTCAGGAGTTTGAGACCAGCCTGAGCAAGAACAAGACCCCATCTCTACAAAAAATAGAAAAATTATCTGGGTGTGGTGGTCATGTGCCAGTAGTCCCAGCTACTTGGGAGGCTGAGGCAGGAGGATTGCTTGAGCCCAGACATTTGAGGTTGCTGTGAGCTAGGCTGACACCACTGTACTGTATAGCTAGGGCAACAGAGTGAGACCCTGTCTCAAAACAAAACCAAAAACCAAATGTCCAAAGTCACACAGCAAGGGAACCGTAGAGCCGGCTTTAAATTCAGGCATCTGACTCCAGAACTCATATTCTTAACCATTGTCTTTTGGTATCTTGGATATCCTCATGTGAAGTGGGGGGCTTGGGCTACTGAGTGGTTTTCACACTGTTTTTAGCAGCAAACCTTTCTTCAGATGTTATAGGATATGGTTCTCCAGTGAGCATAATTGGATTGTCACTGCTTGGGTTGATGGGGGCTGGGGTCTTGAAGCCCAGTCCCTGCTCCCTGGGCCAGGCCTTCTCAACAGCTCTTGAGGCCCCTTTTTAGGACCTTTTGGGAATTCCCAGGCTCTGCATGGGCTCTCTTCCAGCACTTGTATCTTGGCTCTTCTAAAAACAGCCCACTCTCCTTTCCCCACCCCAACCTGGAGCCTCTCGCAGGCTTGGAATAATTTTCTAAGTGGGGAATGCTCTTCCCCAGTCCACCTGACAGTCTTGGCTCCGATGTATTTCCTTGGGATCAGGTCCTTTGTGTCTTTAGTTCCCCCCAATCCCCTGACACCACCCCGGCCAGCTCACCTGATCCCGTTCCATGCGACACATGGAATGGAGGGCATGCACGTTCCACAGGCTGACCTCTGAGGTGGATATGAACACCAGCTGTGCGTAGCCCCTCTCTGCAACACACAACACTGGAGCTCAGCCCTTTGGCCCCAGGTCCTGGACCCACCAAAGGACAGATGCTTATCCAGGGTTATATAAGGTTCCGGTTCTCAGGAGCTTCAAACCTGTGCTTGGCTGCCTGATCCTTTCCCTGTGCCCCTCACCCCCACAGCTTGACCCTACCTGGCTTATCTTTCCAGCTGTAACCCAACTTCTTTGGTGTGAAAATGGCCAGCTGGCCACCTTCCTTTCTGTCTGCCTAATTTGTTTGGGCCTGCCTGTCCTGCTAGGTGGGGTAAGGACTACCTTTAAGTCAGGAGTTGGCCAGGCTGCAGCTTACCAGGGGGGCCACAGAAGAAGCTCTCCTGCCCTCTGTCCTCCGGGGGTTCCACCATCCTCCGAGGCCGAACAACGCCCTCCTGGGCACTGTCCCAGGATGCGGGGCTCAGAGAGGTGTGGGAGCTTGAGCTGAGGTAAAGACAACATCTATGCCAGGCACCATTAGGGGTGGAGGGCTCAGAGGAAGCCAGAGACTGCTCCCCATGGAGGCCCAACAAGCCCCTCTGACTTGCCTTGGGGGAGGTCACCCAGTGTCCCCTCCCTGGAGATCTTGTTCTTCTTCCCTTTCCCACCCACAGTGGAAAGATGAGAACCTGTTACCTGTTCAACTCAAGTTCTGGGGAAAAGGAAAGCAGCTTCCTGGGGCCCGTAAGGGCCTGCAGTGCTCTCCAGACCACTAGCTTACGCCCAATGTCCGTGTCCCGAGGCTCAAAGCCCTGCAGGGAGGAGGGCGGAGAAGAGCAGGTGGGCAGGGGAGGAGTTGTCCATCTGGGCCCTTCTCAGCTCTGCCCCTTTGGTTCCTTGGAGCGGGAGGGCCAGCCCATGTGCCTGGACTGTAGATGTCAGTATGACCTTTATACACCCCCCCAACTCTCCCTGGGGGTAAAGAGCCCCCATTGCTACCCTGCCCCCAGCTAGGCCACTCCAACTCTGCCCCACAATGAGCTGAGGTGGCCAGGCCTGGGGGCCCCCTCCCTCTCCTTGGCCCCTCACCAGCAAAGGCTTGGAGAAGTTGGGCAGCTGGCCCCCCAACAGTCCAGCCAGGGTGCAGAAGAGGACGACAGCCAGACACAGCAGCAGCACGGCCACTGGCCACTCAGCAATCAGCTGGGCATAGCTGGGAAAGAGGGAGGGAGCCCACATGAGTTGATGTTGGGTTGGTTAGCAGGGACCTGGTGAGTTTAGGGTCCACCAAGAAAGGGGGGTAGAGCAGATAGAGCAGAGAACATGTGGAGTAGGGCTAAACTGGCCACTAGTATGGTCACCTATAGAGGTCCATGGAAGGCCCAGTCCTACCTCTTTGGCATCCGGAAGGCCCGTTCCTGCCTGTGGAAGAGAAGAAAAGACACTTGCTTGCCAGAGTCCTCTTGTGGGGCAGGGGTGTGTGTTGGGGAGAAAGGAGTGGGCAGGTGAGAGATGGAGTAAGATGGTCTTAACCCTTTTAGGGCTTTCCCATTTCCGCATTCCAGTCCTTACTTCCTACTCCATCCGGACAGAGGACATCCAGGCCGCCTCCTAAGCAAGGAGTCCAGAGCCCCGGGGGTCTGCCCCACTTTTAAGCCCTGCCCCACTTCCAGTGGCAGCTGACAGGCTGCTGGACCCCTCCTTACCTGACGCTGACCACATGCTGCTGCACAGAGGGTGGCTTCCAGGCCCCATCACACTGTAAGGGGGCTGGGGAAGGGTTGAGGCTGCAACCATGGGAGCACAGAGCTGCCAGGTCCCCATGTCCTGGCAGGGAATTGCTCCCCTGGTATTCCTGTGGTGTCTGGGAATAGGTGAAGTGAGCAGAGGCCAAAGGGCTGGATGAACCCACAGGCTGGAGTGTGGAAGTTGCTGGTGGGGGTCCTGAAGAGCTGGAAGGGTCCTCAAGGGGGCAGCTGTGGAGGGAGCAGCTTCTCTCTGGGCTTGCCTCAGGGGCCACAGCCTTGGCCTGGATGCTAGGAAGAGAGGAGGCAGGGAAGATTGGGGTGGGGGCAGTGGTGGCCATCCCATGCCCCAGCATTGTTCACTAAGACAAGACAAGGCCACAGGGCTCAGGGTTGATTCATTAGTAGTCCTGGGGGAGAGATGAGGAGGGTAAGGGCTCAAAGTCTACACCTTCAGCCTACCTCTTGGAGGCCATTCTCTTTCACCCATCTATCTGTGCTCTCAGAAAACATTATTGGCAGCTTGCTACATGCCAGGCCCTGTGCCAGACACTGAACATGCTTTTACATACATGATCCTATTCACTCCTTACAAAAACCCTACAAGGGAAGTGTTTTCCTTATTTTATAGATTTGAAAACAAGTTCACTGAAAAGTAAAGAGCTGGAGCTTGCACCTAGCTCTTCACACTTGTAGCCCTGAGCTCCTGCTGCTGCAGTCATCTGTGCATTCTCTTGACGGACATCCAGTACATACCTGCTGCACTCTTGTTCCCATCTCACAGCCTTTGGACTTTCTTTTCCCCCTGCCTGGAATGCTCCTCCTCCAGATAATTGCTTTCTTTTTTTCTTTTCTTTTCTTTTTTTTTTGAGATAAGGCCTTACTTGGTTGCCATGTCTAGAGAGGAGTGGTGTTCTCATGGCTTACTGCAACCTCAAAGTCCCAGGTTCAAGCAATCCTCCTGCTTCAGCCTCCCAATTAGCTAGGAGGTATAGGTGCGTACTACCATGCCTGCTAATTTTTCTAGAGATGGGGTCTTGCTATGGTGCTTAGGCTGGTCTTGAACTCCTGGGCTCAAGCAATCCTCTTGCCTCAGCCTCCCAAAATGCTAGGATTATAGGCATGAGCCACTGTGCCTGGCCCATGTCCTTCTTTTTGATTCTGGTCATGGTTCAACTATTACCTCCTTTTATTTTTATTCTTATTTTTTTTGAGACAGAGTCTCACTTTGTTGTCCAGGCTAGAGTGAGTCCCATGGCATCAGCCTCGCTTACAGCAACCTCAATCTCCTTGGCCTGCTGCCTCAACCTCCCGAGTAGCTGGGACTACAGGCATGCACCACCATGCCCAGCTAATTTTTTCTATATATATTAGTTGGCCAATTAATTTCTTTCTATTTATAGTAGAGATGGGGTCTTGCTCTTGCTCAGGCTGGTTTTGAACTTCTGACTTAGAGCAATCCGCCCACCTCGGCCTCCCAGAGTGCTAGGATTTCAGGCGTGAGCCACCGCCACTGGCCCAACTATTACCTTCTTAGAGAAGCCTTCTCTGACTACTCTCTCTAAAATAGTCACCAGCCAGCTCTCTATCTCCTTACCCTGCTTTATATTTTTTTCAGAGCATTTGCTGCAACTGCATATTATGTTCTATAATTGTCATGTTTATTACTTGTCTTTCATATGGAATGTGAGTGCCAGGAGAGCAGGGGCCTGGTGCATTTGTTCATCTCCAAATCCCCAGGGCCTTGAACATTGCCTTGCACACAAAAGGTGCCCTGGAAATGTTTGTTGAATGAATGCTAGACTGGCTGCACTGGCTGATAGTGGTGCTGGGATAAGACTCAGTCCACGCCCTCTGGGTACTCACAGCACTTGGGAGATATGGGCAGTACAACACATTGAATGCTGTGAGTGAGGAAGTCACAGAATGCTGAGGGAGCGCAAAGGGGCTCAATTTTGACAGCGGTGGAGGTAGTCAGAGAAAGTTTGCAGAGTCAATTGCTGTTCTTCTACCAACCCTGTCATGGGCCATACATAGAGCAGAAGGGTTGCTTTGCAAGTATGTATATAGTTGGGAGAGGGAGTTAGGACCCTGCAAGGTACTTGCAAGGAAGGAGTTAGCAATACATGTCTCTCCCAAATTGCTCATCAGGGCACCACTCTGTGCGTGGATCAGCCCCACACCTTGGGTGTGGGAGGAGGTGGAGTCCCAGGATTGCCAAGCCAAGGACAGGAAAAGATGGCCACAGAACAGAATGCCTGAGGGCAATGGGGGGTTCTCAGAGGGGTTCAGGGCTAGGCAGCCTGACAGAGCCATGTCTTCTTCCCTCTGACACTTCGACTGTCTCACTTGCCCACCAGAGTTTCCCTAGCTCCGACGGAAGAGCCAGATCTATACAGAGCAAACCCTGGCTTCCAGTCTTGGCTCTAGGGGCCGTGGGCCAGAGTCCTGGCCTTGGTTGCAGACAGGCATTCTCCATGGAAGCTTAGTTCTTCCCTGAGATCAAGTAGAAGACTTGGAAAGAACAGACAAGTTCTTGCTCTTCTTCCCAGAAGGGTGGCTGGCTGGCCCAGCAGTCTGGGACAGCTTTGACCTGAGGCTGAGGGGAAAAGAGCAGTGGAGGCGGGCTCCTGGCTCCAGCACCCTTGGGTTCTGGGGCCTTGGGAAAATGCACAATTCTTGCAACATTGGCATCCTTGTCTGCTGAGGACATGATGATAATGCCCACCTCTTAGTGTGGTATGGCAACTAACTGATACAACATATGTCAGGTGCCTGGCACGGAGCCTGGCCTGTGGAAGACACGTTTGCTTTCCTGCCCCTTCCCACACTCAGTGCTGTGGGGAGCACACACTTTAAGATGTATATTTTTATTTATAACTTGGCCTCTTTTGGCACCTCAGATAATATATCTCCATTTTAGAACTTCTCACACCTTAAGAATCTTACTACATATGTAATTATAAATACTTGATTTTTATTATCCAAAAGCTGCATCAAAATTAGATCTCATGATTTAAATCACTGAAATTTGTCTTTTTACTAAGTCAAGATTTAGAAAAATAGGAATTTGGCCAAAGTTGTTCTAAGGAAAGACCTCAGATGCCTCAATAAAATTAATGACATAAGCGACCAGTGTCCTGGCAGACAAAAGACCCTGTAGGCCAGTCCTTGTGAGTCAAGGAGAAGTTGGATAAATGCCCTGAGGTATGTGTGTAAGTGTGGACATCTACTTCTTTAAGGTTTTTTAATTCTTCAGGTCTTTTTTGACCAGCTATCATGTGCTCAGCCCTGTGGTTGCTCTGGGTTGGGTCCAGAAGGCATGAGGATGACCCATCAGCCTTGGTCTCCCTCTTTAGAGCAGAGCCTGCCTTCCACTGGTCAGGAGAGAGGGTCAGCCTGGGTGGAGGTGAGGGACCTGTTCCAGCTGCTCATGGCCTTAGAGAATGGAGCACTGAGCTTGTTCTAGAAGCCAGCCTCCCCCCTCCCGGAGTGTCAGTTTCTTGTGCACTGAGAGAAGCCAGCACTCCAGGGGGTGTTGGAAGAGAATGGGAACCCTCTTCCTTTACTAATCTATCAAAGCTGTTTCTTAACTGGCTCCTGTTGAAGGGGGATTCTAGCCTCCAACATTGGTTTGCTTCTCCTGTGGTCTCCCTAGCTCCAGATCCTCCCTTTTACCTGTACTCTTTCTTTCCGGGGACCTAGGGTCAGCTGCCCCCAATCTCACCGTTTTTGACTGTGCCCACCACTGTCAATGTGGCAGAATTTGAAACCCTCTGCATTCTGGCTGCAGTAGAGCCAGGCCTTTTCTCAAGCCCCCCCGCCCCAAAAGAGAAAGCCAAACCTCACTCTTCTCAGAATAAAAGCTTTCTCTTGCCAGCTCCTGTTGCCCTGTGCTCTCAGGAGACCCAGTAATAATAGGAGTTAAGTACCCCAGGCCTCCATTTCCCAAGGGTCTTTCATTCTCACACTCTAGTTGCATGGCCCTGACTGGGATGAGTAACTTTCTGGGCAGCCTACCTATGCCACTGGCCTATATTCCAAGTGACTGGGGCAGGCAGGCAAGGGGAATGGAAAGTGGTGACATAGGCCTCACTCAAGAGGCCAACATCCAGCAATCAGGGCCTAACTGACAGGGCCTCGACAGAACCCCAACTTGGGAGCCCCGTAAGGGGCACTAATCGTGCTCCCAAGCCCACAGACACATAGCCATATGGACATCTGTGTTATCCCACAGAATGTCCAGGACCGATAGGGAAGCAGCTGATACCACTAGGAAAATACAAAGGTAAATTAAAAAAAAAACAATAATTGGTCAGACATGGTAGCACACGCCTGTAATCCTAGCACTCTGGTAGGCCGAGGAGAGCAGATCATTTGAGCTCAAGAGTTCGAGACCAGCCTGAACAAGAGTGAGACCCCATCTCTACTAAAAATAGAAAGAAATTAATTGGCCAACTAAAAATATATAAAAAAAATTAGCTGGGCATAGTGACACATGCCTGTAGTCCTAGCTACTCATGAGGATGAGGTAAAAGGATGGCTTGAGCCCAGGAGTTTGAGGTTGCTGTGAGCTAGGCTGACGCCACAGTACTCAAGCCCGGGCAAAAGAGTGAGACTCTGTCTCAAAAAAAACCAAAAACAAAAAAATCCCCCAAAACTAACTATATCAAATTTCTCTGTGGTCCATGCATTTGTAAAGGACTGTGTGTGTGTGTGTGTGTGTGTGTTGTTTTATTCACTGTGTATCTGTCCCCAGTATAATACTTAGCTCAGCAGGAGAATATTTGTGCTTCTTTCTTGAATTGCATGGGCAAGGGCCTATGCCTGATAAGTGTCCTTGGTCTCTGCGCAAATACAGAGAGGGGCCAGAGGACCCAGGGAGTTTCTGGAATAAAGGAAATGATCCTATGCTCATAGGAAACAAGCAGACAGGGCTGACCCTTGGCAAGATATCCAAGTCAGCAAATGACTGTCTGACCCCTTCTAGGGCTGCTCCTGGCCCCCGACCCCTGTCCTGCCCTTCCCTGTCACTGCTCCATCCCTGGCTTCTTTGGTCAGGCCATGGCTCCAGGCAGGCCCCTGGTCTGGGGAACACACCCATCCTGTGTCTCACCCTCTTGAATGAGGTTCTGTGCCTTTCAGACTGAAAGGTGGTTAAATGTGTCTAGGCTGATGTGTTAGCAACACAGAGAAGAAACATTTCTCTCCACTTGTGGGGATTTCACTTCCCATTGAGGTACAGAATGTACATTTTATCTGGCACAGGCTGGAGACAATGTCTACCCCTGGTTTTTGCTACCCATGAATGCCTTTTCCTTCAGTGCAGGCAGGAGAGAGGCAGCGTCATTTCAGAGGAGGGATTCTGGGGACGGCAGAGCCAGCCAGGGCACAGAAATTGCGCCATATTGCTACCTGCTGGACTGTTCCCTCACACATATGGTGGATGAAGGGAGAAAGAGGAGAGGCAGGGAGACCTGAGACCTCAGCAGGAAGATGTCTGTCCTGTCCCACCAGCCTGGGTTCCTTTAGAGGTCTTACAGATCAGCGGCCTGAGCCATAGAGCTGGCCCACCTTAGCGGCTGCAGCCAGTGTCAATGGCTGCCACAGGAGGGGACTTTAACACACACGTGCACAGCTGGGGGCCATGCAGGGCAGGAAATCCACTGACAGTGACTGAGAAAGACAGTTCCTGCCGTGGCTGCACAGTCTTGGCCTACCCCAGGACACCTTCCTTGGCGAGCCTCCCATCCACGTCCACAGGCACCCCCTGCATTCTGACAGGCAGAAACCCAGACTGAGCGTGCTGGGGGCTAGGCGCTTCTGCTTCTTCGCGAGAAGATGCAGGGGCAGGGCCTAGAGGGAGGGGCTCGGGAGGCTAGAGGAGAAGGGAGGGGAAACGCGGGCCTTAGAGCAGATGTAGGAAAGTGGGTGAGGCAGGTCCCCAAGCGGTGAGGGCGATGGGGGCTGACAATAGGGGGTTTCGGGGAGCCCGGAATTTGACCCCGCAGGATGAGGGTGTGTCGAGAGGGCCCGGGAGCGTGGAAGCAGAGAAGGGCCTCTGGGAGGGTCTGGGGAATGAATGGGGAGACATATTGCAGCCACTGGGGATACCTGAGGCGGGGGTGCTGGGAAGGTCTGTTGGCTGGGTCTGCGGAGCGGTCCGCCCTACCTGTCCGGGGAGCTGCCATCTGGGGCCAAGGGCTCCCCGTCGAGCCCTTGGTCCCCTTCCAGACCTCTGCCGGGAGCCAGACCGCTGTTGCAGCTGCTGCTGCTACCACCGTCCATTCCCGTGGGCGGCGCCGCTGTCCGGGCGCTGGTGCTGAAGACGCGGCCGCAGAGACTGTGGCAGCAGCGGCAGTCTGGCTTGTGCGCATGCGTTTGCAGGCAGCGGCTGGTCGCTGGGCGGTGCCGAGGAGGAGCCCAGCCAATAGACGCGGCGCTGAGGGGCGGGGCCGAGCTTGCTGGGACGCTGCGGGGCTGAGCCAGAGGCTCGCTGTCTTCCTCAGGGCGGGACTGGTGGCCTGGCCCCGCCACCATGCCAGAGTCTTAGAGCTGCTCTTAAGATTCTGGCCATCTGACCCTTCGTGGGGGCCTCGGCCTTCCCCTAAGGTGCCAAAGAGGGCGGGCCAAGCACAGCTCCTCACTAATTGAAACCCAGACTCCTCCCTGGGAAAGGGCGCGTCTACACGCCCGCACCCCCCTGAGGAGAGATCGGACCACTCTAGTCCCTCAGCGCCCTCCTCTCCTCCCCAGAGGGCCAGGCGGCTGCTCATATTGGGTCTTTCTTCCTAGGCGTCTGGACCCGGACCTTAACCTGGGTCTGTGCCCCTGAGACGTGGAGCCCCGACTGCGTTATTCAAGTGCAGAGTATGGTGGAGGAAGAAGGAAGAAGACAGACACTCAGAGCACCTGCATCCAGTTCCTTTTCTTATAGTCACCCATACCACCCACATCAGCCTGGGAGGGGCCCAGTAGCCACTCACTCCAGGGCACTCGCCGGCTCCCCCATCAGGGAGTAGCTGTGAGAAAGGGGAGAATAGAGCACATCAGGGCGTGATGGGCATGTCTAAAGGACTGTGGCAAAACTAGAATGGACATGGGCAGTGTGAGAGGCCTGGCGGGTGGGAGTGGAGAGGGCCCCGGATGTGTTGGCATTTGCATAGGTAGAAAGGGTTTCACAGCAGGCAGGCTGGTCAGGGCCCGTCTGCAGGGGCAGGGAGGTGCCTTGGCTGAAGGCTTGGGGCTGGGGAGAAAGTCAGAACCCAGGAGCATTTGGACTCTGTCCCTAAAATGTGTGTCAGGGCCAGTCCGTGCACAGCACTCATCTTAAGGGTAGCGGTGGGAGAATCTAAAGGTGTAGAAGTGAGGAGTCTTCCCTGAATAACATACAGTTTGGCTGGAAATATAAAGGGCCAGCACATAAACTGGTGCCAAATGGGCAGGCCATAAGATGGGCCTTTGCAACTTGCTGTGGAGAACGGGACAGTGTGCAAGCTCAGAGGACCTCTGTTTTTCTTAGGTAAGGACCTCTGTTTTCTTAGGTCAGAGGACCTCTGTTTTTCTCGTGGAGATGGTGGAGCTTCAGCTGGATTGGAAGGAAGAGTAGGCTTTGAAAATGTGGAAGTAGGAGACAGGGAAGGCATTCCTGACCTGGGCTGTGAGGCAGGGTGTAAAATTGTGTAAAGAAAGTTAAGGAGGGTGGAAAGTTCACTTTATTTTGAGGGAATGGTGAGAAATCCATCTGGACAGTAGGGAGCCACTGAAGGCTTCTGATCTGTAGCATGAAGTATGTAAGCTGGAACGTTAGAAGACCCACCAGATCTGGGTGTACATGATGGGGTAGAGGTGATGAGGTCATGCTTGAGGCCCCATGATGGGAGGAGGCAGGAATGAAAAGGAAAGGAGAGGTGACCTACAGGTATATATGAGAACCACTGAGCCAAGTTTCTGAGAACGCCAACCTAAGTGCCCCATTGTCACAACTAGGGAACTCAGAGACAACTGGGCCCCCTAACCACCAGGTTGTATGTGAAGGAAGACAGGCTCTTTTAAGAATAGAACGTGGCTTCCAAGAGGCTGTTTATTAGGAGAAGAAGATTCTGGTTCCTGGCCTCATGACAGGTCAGCAGGGCAATTCACTCAGGCTCCGCATCTTGGTCTCTTCTCCTTTCTCAGTGATGTGGTCCAGGGGGGGGACAATGGGGCCCTGGGCCATGTCCAGGTGGGGGACAATGGGGCCCTGGGCCATGTCCTGGTGGGGGACAATGGGGCCCTGGGCCATGGTGAGGGGGTGGACAATGGGGCCCTGGACCATGGTGAGGGGGTGGACAATGGGGCCCAGGGCCATGGCCAGGGTGGGGACCAGGGTGACCTGGAGGATGCCCCCCACCATGGTGCCCAGGGCCATGGCCATGGCCGTGTCCCTGTGAAAAGTCAATTCAACAAGGTCAGAGTCACAAGTCAGTGCCAATCTTCCCTGAGTTAACTCCCCTTCACCCCACTTTCCTGGTGGACTCAGGATTCCTGGGCAAGCAAGGGGTAGTGGTGATGGCTGGGTGCCATGGATAGCAAGTGATGCTCCCAGCCCTGGGCCTTGTTTTGGGAAGCCAGAGTACTAAGCAGATAAAAGGGGAGCAACCTACATTTAGTGGTTTCTGTTCCTTGAAGGGAAATATAACTCTTACTCCTTGGACCTCAGTTTATTTTATTATTATATTACATTATTATTTTATCTGTATCTAAGAAACAGAATTATTTCATCTCTTCCCTTCCCTCACCCAGGAATCATTGGAGAGTGATCAGAAGATCTGCTATGCTAGAAATTGCAGGCTCACCATATTTAGGAGCAAGGGTAAAGCTGGAGGAGATTACAAAGGAGCTCACTGAGGGCATGGGGCAGGAAAGATAGGAGGCTGAGGTGGGGGCCATGCAGGAGCTAAGCAGGAGGAGGAGGACAGCTGGACCATGAGAGGAGAACAAGGGTGGGAGGTGGCAAGGTGGGGATGTGTGTGTTCTCTGTGTAGGGGTAAGTGTACACATCTATACTGCATTTACACACAAATAGCTATGTCTGTGTCTATGTATGTGGGTGGGTGCATACTCAAAGCCCTCTATGTTCATAGATACGTGGATGGGGGATGTGGTTGTGTGTACATGAAAACAGGTGTGTGTGAGCTCATGCCTATTCCTGAGCAGATGCCAGACCCAGGAAATCAGGAAGAATGGAAAATAAAGTCAAAGGTTTCCTGCCTCAACCAGAAGATGCCTGGGAATAGTGTAATTTAATTTTCTGTCTTGGCTGGAAGCACTCCCGAGGCCCCAAGGCCAGAGGACTTCCTTTGACTTTTGTCTTGGGCTCAGGGAGGAGAATCATCAAGACACCATCTTGCTTGTGTGCTGAGGCACTAAGGAACTGGGGCCCTGTGGAGTAGGGGTGAGGTTATGCCTCTACCTATGGGTTGGATAGCTCCACAGCCTGCTTTTGCCTGCTAGGGCCTGATTAGAGCTTGTTCCAAGTAGGAAAGAGGCAGGCTCCAGGGCTGCAGGCTTTCCCTGACCATGTTAGAGCAGTCTCTGCCCCATCCAGGCTCAGTGATGCCTGGAAACAGCTAGTTCCCCTCCCACCTGCCTCTCCTACTATGGCTGCTTTGTTTGTGGGTTGGCAACTGGAGGGGGCACAGAGACCAGGCCTAGATCTGCTGGTGGTAGCCAGTGGGAGGAAGAGGTGGAGCACAGGCAGCCTCCCTTCTCTGGCAGAGGCAGGTCCTAGGGGCTATTCAGTGTGGTTGGGGCTTGGGAGCAAGGCAGCCATCCGCCTAGGCTGTGGGGGTAGCCAGGAAGGCAGAGAAGCATAGAACAGGCAGGGAATCAGCAGGAGAGAGGATGGGCTGCTGGGGCAGGGAGAGGATTTCAGGAAGTGAGAGAGACAGAGGGGAAAACAGAGGAAAAGATGCCAGAAGGCTGTAGCCATCAGAAGGTGGGGGAACAGCGATGCCCTGCAAAATGGGGCTGGTGCCTGATCCTGCTCCCTACTTGTCATTTGGGGGAAGTCTTGGCTGCTCCCTAAGGGAAGGAGGCAGAAGGTCTGAATGACATGACAGTGGGCAGGAAAGAGGAGAGGGTTGGGGAAGATTCCTACCGTCGGACCTGTGGGAGAGGAAGGGGAAAAAAGAGGCAGCATTGGTCATTTTGTTCTGTGGTGAAAACCTTGACTTCTCCTTAGCGCTGATCTTGTGCCCCCACCCCTGCACCAACAACCACTCCTGCATTCATTCACTCAACAAGAAGCACATACTGAAAGTCAATACAAGGTTTAGCTGTGTGTCCCCATGTGCTCAAGAGCTGGCTGAGTTTTCCAGGGACAGTAGAGCCAGTTAGGATGTGTGGGTTCTTGTCCCCACTCTGTCACCTCTGTGCTCTCCCGACTTCAGCCAAATCCATGATACTGAGGATGGGCCTTCCCAGGGCAAACCCTGATTGTTTTCTTCCACTTCCAGGCTGCTCCCACCCCATCTGCCCATCTGCTCTGCCTTCCTCATGTCCTGTTTATTTCAGCCATTGTCTCTGCTCAGCCTCTCAGCTGTTTCTTGCCTCCTGCTTCTGACCTTCTGGTCCCAAAGCCTGGCCTTTGCAGATGCCTCTTGCCACAGGGAAATCTCTCAGGCTCAGCTTTGTGGTGCCTTCCTGCAGGAAATCCATGTGGACTGGGCCATCAGCCTGCCCAGCTGTGGGTGCAGTGGGCTCACTCTGCAGCAGCCTAGCTGAGTGGTCCTGGATGTTGGTAAATGCTCCCTTGGTGGGAATTGCCTGCTGATTTGTAATGGCAAGGATGGTCTCTTGTTCCATTTGAGGGGAGCCGATGCACAGCTGCTGAGAGCTGGGTTCTGGGCTCCAACCCAGCCCCACCTCCATGGCCTTACCCTGAATGTGACTCTAGCTATGGGGGACCCTGTGTGTGCAGTGGGACAAGCACCTGACTGTATTAGTCCTCAGCTTGAAGACTAAGTGAGATGAAGGATGCAGAAGTACATTTCCCCAACTGTAACATGTTGTAAGGGCTTGTTGTCATTGCGGACCCTGCCACCACCTTCACGCAAACACACACAGCCATGTTTTTGGTGTGCAGTAGATATGGCTGACTGATTGCCCTGACTTCACCACTCTCCTTCCTTCTCTCTTCCTTCTTCCACCCCACAGCCCTCCAGCCATGGTGCTTACCCGGATGCATCTTGATGGGGCAAGAGCAGGTAGTGACACAACGATCACCTGTGTTGAAAAAGTAGCGTGTTAGTTTACCGTAATCTAAATCAACCTCTTTCCTTCTTCCCTCCCAGGGATGCACACACACTCCTTCAAAGGACAAAAGTGATAAAACTGCTT